CCACATTCAAAGACGACAAGGATCGTTGAAGTGAGGAAAAAAAGAAAAAAAAAGGAAAAAATCAGAAACAGGGGCTCGTTTTTTACGCGCGTAATGCGTCCGATCGCGAGGGAAGCGTGAACGACTTGCAAAATTGCCAATTCGTTCTTTGATTTTTCCCAATCGAAGACAGCTTTTTCAATCCTCTACGACATTGATCTTGTTCCTCTCTCTCTCTCTCTCTCTCTCTCTCTCTCTGAAGTCTCAAATTCTTTGGGAATGGATTATTAACTGTCAATGTGCAAGAAACCCTAGCCGATTTCGTCGGAAACAACTGGATCTCGCTGGGGAGAGTTTTCATCTGGTTAGAACGGTTTTGTCAATCATCTTTCGTGCACCTTTCTTCTTCTTTTCTATTCTTTTGAGTTTGCTTGATGGGATGAAAATGTCAAGGAATTCGAAATTATGAGTTTGTTGATGCGTTCGTGATTTTACTTTCCGCATTGCACCTTATGGCCGTGTCATGTAATTCTACGTGTATTGTTAACCGACTTATGGTAGAGACGTCAGAAATTACTATGACGACGCATGTATGTCTGTGTGTGTGTATTTTTATATAAATTTGTTGAGGCGATGGTTGATTTTGATGGTGCCAACCGTAATGTTGTAGTTATTTATTGTAATTATTTGCTGGTATTTTCGGAGTGAAAGTGATCCACTTAATATTTGGAGATGACATGAATCGTTCCTATTATTATCGTTGCAATGGATGGTGTAAACGGCAATGTCTTTGAGGAAATTCTGGATTGCAGAGACGAGCTTTCCTGAGAATGGCCTGGCTTGATGTTGCTTTGTCTGATCGATACAAGTCATCCATGTACTCTGGAATAATAAAAATTACTATGTGATTGATTTGCTTATTTTAGCTTAGTTGGTGGCACTGGTTCTCAATATTCATATTTAATTATTGATAGAATCTTGTGCAGGTTTATTCTACCTGCCATCTAGATCCTGTTTTCAAAGTAGACGTTTGTTACCGCTCTAGAAAGCCTGAAATCCTGAATATCATAAAAATTTGGAAAAGGAGGAAATATGGGGAACAATTGGTTGTTTTTCGTTGATCTTGATGGTGGCTCACCCTATAACTTGCCAATCGAGCCCTTTACATCTCACAGATTTGGAGGTCATCTATTTTTGCATATTAGTTCCTTCATGGATAATTCTCTATATCAGTCTAGAAATTTGTACCTGGCTGGAAGTTTAGCTCTTCAAGAAGCCTTTAATTGCTTTTCAAAGATCGCTGGTGCGCTATTATTATGGTGCTCAAGTACATCAAGTGCAAACATGACTAGGGAGATAGCAGATGATCTGCATGGTTCAAATTCTAGAAGCTTTAAAAACTTTGCTGAAGTTAAGAGCATCCGTTCTGGTAGACTTGGGTCTAGAGGGTTTCACTTTAGCTTTAATTTGGAAAAGGAACACGCCAACCCAATTTTTCTTGGCAAGATTGGCAGTTTTGTTACAGAACTCCTCGGTAAAGAAACTGGAAGACATCAGTTACATCCTTTGCTCTCGGTAGCGGCGGCTTTAGTTCCTCCACTTAACAACTTGTAAGCTGTTGTAATTCTGCGAGATGAGTAGGATGAATGAAATTCCTTTTTGTTCTACCTTTATTCTTATGTTCAATTATTTGACCAAACCTTTTTATGCATCAAGGGCCAGCAGATCATCAGATGTTATAGCTGTTCCATTGGAGAACAATGAACTGCAAGTGCATGGATGCATGAATCAAAAACCTTGTGAAGTTGCGTGTAGAGGAAATGCTGGTTTAACTTTTCCTGATTTGAACTGGACAAGACATGCAATTGAATCCAAAACTGGCATCGAGTTTCCCATGATACTGGATAACATTTTGTCTGGAGAAAATAATTCTAGCTTGAGTTCGGAGGTGAATGTCTATCTGATTATAGCTTTAAAATATTCCTCTAAATGTTTATATGCTTTTCTGACATTCAAAATTGTACCTGTCATTCTTATATTGTCCTCTGGCATTATTCTACTCTAACGCTAGGCTATATTGCCTATCTTTGAAACTGCTACTGCAGATTCTTGTTGGAACTGGATCCAGAATTATGAAAATAGTCAAAATTAAATCCTTGAAGGTCTATGCTTTTGGCTTTTGTAAGTTTATCGGTATATCAGTTACTCTTTTTTTTTGTGCCTACCTTTATCTTTTACTGATAAGATCTTGATTTATTCCCCCTTATAGATGTTCACCCAAACTCTGTCTGTGAGAAGCTTGGTCCAAAATATGCTTCTTCTTCAGCAGATGAATTAAATGAGTGCCGTGATTTTTATGAGGACCTTCTCAGGTAGTTAACAACTTATGCTCGAATTATATTATTTTTTTGATATTTCATTTTAATTGTCAAAAGCGCTCCAGTTTCAAAAGTATTCTGGAAAATGTGAAAGAGACTTGGAAATTTGTTTAGCAGAATCAGAAATTCAGCATGACTGTGCCAAGGGATTTCCTGTCTTATTTACTGTTCCTGGCCTGAATGGAACACATAGTTCTCTGCTTTTATTTTTGACCTTGGATCTAATTTTCCTTGTAAGTTACTTGTGCCTTCTTTCTAATTTTATTTTTGTATGTTGCCGTGCTGCAGGGAGGATATCAATATGACTGTCAGGCTCGTGGTTAATTGCAATGGGATGAAAATCAACACTGTTAGAGAGTATGTTTCTCTCTTTAGAATTGAACGCTGAATACATATAATATTGGCCATCGTTTTTCTTTAAATAGTGGGTATATTTTTAGGTTATTCATATGATAATTTTATTTAGAGGTATTCAGACAGGATTAAATGTCCTTACAGCTTAATGTAATATTATAGTTGATTAATCTTAACAATGTTGATTTGTTGCTCAAGCTAATTGATGAACATTCTGATTCCTCTATTGCAGTGCTTTTGAGAAATCACTTAGAGCACGACTGTTGAAGGTAAAGTGTCTGATGGATCTAGAGAATATCTTTACTTCTGAACATTCTTGATTATTTCTAATTTTTTAAAATTATATGTGACTTAGGCAAATCCAGAAACTGATTACCATTGTGTGAGGACGTTTGGTTCTTTCTTCACTAAAGATATTCCATTACCTGCGGTAACTCTAGTCTAGATTAAAAGCGTCACTTTCGTTTGTATTTTGTTTATTGTGTATTTTATTCCCATGTTCTAATATGTGTCAAATAGTTAAATATTTAATTGGAACATTGTAGGGAACAACAATTGATTTTCGACAGACAGCTGATGGACAACTAATCACTGAAAGTAAGCAGAGAGTACAATTATAATGTTTGATACCATAGCTTATCTATTGTGCATCCCATTTACTCTTGAATTAAATTTGGGGGGAAGCTAGATGCCATCTTGCATTTTACTGTATATATGTGATAGGAACTCTTGCAAATGAAATTACAGAGCAGTTTCTAAGCGTTTGGCAGGCTTAGTTCTCTGACTCCATCATTTTCCTGCATAGACTATAGTGATTTCATTTTCTGCGCACAACTAACCATGGCTTTCGCACAGTGGGAGGCACTCTGATTGGAGCAGTTCGTAGTAAGGAATTGTGTAGTAAGTGAAACATCTCCTTCCTGAACTCATTCTGTGATAAATGAAAATATAAAAGGTATGTTTAGTAAATGGCTATTTGATAGATAGATACCAACAATTAAAATCATACTTTTAGGGGCATTCTTTGACATGTACATTGGAGATGTTCCAGTGTCGGAAGAAACGAAAAAAGAGATCGGTAGAAATGTGGCAGGTATTATCGGTAGATGCTGAAATATTTTTTCCGAAGTTCCAACTTCCATTGTCCCCATTTTATATGGACAATTTTGGTTGCTGTGACACGAGGAACTGCAGGCAGGCTTAGTAGCAACAGGACCATTTTCACCTCCATTGTTCCCATTGTTCCACTTTCACTTTGGTTTTTCGCTCAAAAGCTGGCAATAGCGGGTGAGATCTAGTACATATTTCAAAAGATAAGGGGAAAAAAAAAAAAACAGGTGCCACACCAATTAATCAATTGAATTTTTTGTGTCGAGGGCTGCTAAATAGATTGGCAGGTTACGTCAAATTGATCGGCATTCATTCTTTGGGTTTTCTCTACTTATATTTATTCCCATTTGCTATGTAATATTTTCATCATTTTCTCGCAGCCTTTGTTCCAAGGAAATGGAGTAATGTGGTCGGGAGTTGTACGAATTCTCCCTCCCCCACCCCTTAAATTTAGAACAATTTTTGGATGGTAAAGATTTAGGGTAGGAAAAAGTTTGTTTCTTACGCTTTCTACTTGGCTTTTATGAGTCATGTCTATTGTCTAATATCAAAAAGTTAGTTTCGACTATTCTTAGGAGCTTGTTTTTGTGGTTGGGTTGGCGTGATTTTCTAGTTAAATTTCTGGTGTTGATTGAATTTTGATGAATTATGAAGACTATTTTCTAGTTTGATTTTAATGAGTATTAATTTAACCAATTCAAGCCCATGCTTAAATTTAATGAAATTAAATAATTTAAGGTTAAAGTAGATAGCTAAATTAAGTACGGGGTAGAAAATGAACTTTCTCATTAGCTTATTATATAAAAGTTCATGATTGTGTAACTAAAAGTAGCTTCGGCTCTACTCAAAAGTAGGTATTCTGTTCTCTAACGGTAGTTTTATCCAAATAATTCCAATACTTCTCAAAAGCGTGATGCTGTTTTTCTACTCTTTTCTTTTGTGTTAAGGTAGTATTTGGTCTAAAGTTTTAAGCCATCTGAAATAGGTAACGTGATATTTGAAATTATTATTTTCTATGATATTAGATATCTATTTCACTTTATTTTATAAAAAGCTAGTTTGGTATAGATAATACTTTCTTTGAAATCAACTTTCTAAATGAAATTTCTCCATCTAATTTTAGTGACATTCAACTAAACTTAGTGTTATTGTTAAACTCTCACGTGCCACGTGGTCTCACCCTGCGAGGCCACAACAACTATGGGCTCTGTCCAATCATAAGAAAGCACGAGGAATAAAAGACCCGTATAGTTGGCCTATGGGCATAATAGCTCGTATCAGAACCTTGGAAAGAGGGTCTCAGAACTAAACATCGATCGACAGCAAAATTATTCGTGCTGTTCGATAATCTGCAATATCTATCAATTACATGCTAGCGGATGGGATAACCTAGATTCAAGAAGATACGCTGCTGAATATCTTCTTTCTATAAGAGCCAAAATTCTTCCAAAGGTACGTTAACTTCTAAGAACACAAATCACTCAACATCTCCTACTCTATTTATTCTAATCCAATCACTAACTTAGACATCAGAAGGTATTATTACATGTATCATTTCGATCGTGAGTTTGGTCGACTGTCAGTACCCTTTAATGCTAGAAGCGTCTTGAATCTAAAAAACGGAAAAATGATTTGATTTTTGAAAGGAAAGAGTGTAGTGTTTTGTAATTAATTTAAGGATATTTTTTTGGAGAGAGAGAGGAAGAATCCAACTCATCCATTCGACCCCCACCCCTAGGAAAGGAAATGGCGCACGCAGATATAAGTGTAAGAAACTTTACACGTATCCATACCACAACCAAATTAAAAGCACTTCCTGCACCACCACACGACAGCCACCAGAAATTCAGAAAAACAGCACACTGAACAAAACACCTTATCCATTCCCCCTTTTCACTCTCAATGAATGATTCTTTTCAAACCCAACTACAT